AGGGAGTTCCATGTGCATTAGAGGCACTTATATATGTGATCATCCTCTTTTATAGCTCACAGCTTTTTTCTTTCTTTTGATTAAACAGTTTAAAAGTTTTTATTTAAAACTAATACATTTAAAAAAGAATATATATTATTTTTTTCTATATAGAAGTATTAAATACACACTTTTTTATATTTAAATTTTTAAAATTCGTTTAAGTGAAGTCCAAATTCTATTCTAATCTTGATCTGAGAATATGTTTTTAAATATCTCTAATATTAGGTCAATTATAATTTTTAAATAAATTACAATATGAATTCGTACATATAATATTAAATAAAATAATAAACAAAAAATTAATTCTTAAATATTTTTGTCTGACCTTTTCCTTTAAAAACCTTTACGAAAGATATTTACTTTTTAAAACTGTTGCTTTTAAATTGAAAAAACGGACTTTGAAAAGGTGTTGCAGTTCTTGTATCTTTAGTTTGTATGAATCTGTTACCGGTTATGGCTTACTCATGTGTCTGGCAAAGTGTGAAAAGATATTTTTTTACACAAACATGTTGCCTTGCCTTTATTGACTGCGGGTGGTAACACTTTTCATTTCAAAAAGTAAGGTGAGTCCTTGCTTTGCATGTTTGCGCTTTTTGGTCAATTTACATAAACAAACATTTTTCAATACTTTTCATGAATACTTTGCAGTTTTTTGTTTTTGTTTTTTTATTATATTAGAAAGTAAATAAAAGTGATAGTAGTAGAAGTTAAAGCAATTTTCAAATATATTAAAGTAAGAAAAAAATCATTCCATTTTATTTTCACTTTCTTTATTTGTAATAGACTTGCCATAGATCTGTTGCAATGAAATATAAACCATAAAAATTTATAAATTTACAACTATAAATTAGAAAAGTTAATACTTCTATAAATAAATTTTATATCAGGTTAGGATATCAGATTAATATCATTAAAGCATTCAGGTTGTCCTTGACAAGCTTTTCACTGGTTTGGGAGACATACAATGTCTTGTAAAATCTTGCTATATGGAATCAAGTAATTTCAGTAGTTTTGATACAAATACAGTAACAAACAAATGGTGAAATCGTGTATATTTTGTATTCTTTTGTCGCTTCTTCTCAAGACTCTCTAATCAGACATTGTAAAAATCTTCAGTATCAGCTCCTAACCTATTTCAAACATTCTCCGCTTCCTCAAAAGAACAATATATTTCTCATTCAAAAGTATATAATAATAAGTTTTACAATACAATGTACTTATGTATCGCATTAACTATATTGAGATCGTATAGTCATAAGTAAACTTAATTCAGTTCAATTATAATTCTTCTTTTTAAGATATATAACAATAACATCATTTTTGGTATAATTTAAAAAAATATTTCTCCAGCTTCAGCCGTTGGAACTTCAACTTCGGTTTTTTTTCTTAATATATTGTACGTTTCCAAATATTTTATTTTTATCTACCGTTGAAAAGCAATAAAATGCAACTTACCTTGCATTTTTCAACATTTTTAAAAATTTCAACCAGCTTGACAATCACTCCTAAAGGGTGTTAAATATTTGTTTAAAACAATTGGCCATTCTGTACTGAATTGGAAATGTCTGTGTGCCATAGGTACCACTGATGATGACACCGTGAGAATACGTGACTGGTATGTTGCCTCTGCACAAAGTGTAAAATGCACGGCATGTGAGACATGTGCTGTCCATTGAGACTGACAGCTTTAAAATGATTTCAAAGCTACCAGCCATTGGGGTTTTTATATAAAGTTAATTCGTGTTGAATGAAATTCGTGTTATTAAAAAAAAAGAATAGTTAATTGAAAAAGATACTAAATAATATAAGAATATTTTAAGGAATTATATTTTCAGTTAAAGCAGAAAAATTCTGTATAATGGCTGTAGTTGTTTACTTTAAGTGTTGTGCAATACTATTTGGAACAATACTATTACCTTTTTGGTGGTTAGTTTTCCAGATTATGTGATCTGGTTAATTTTCAATTAATTGGGAAGGTATTACATGACGTTATGCCACAATTGCTTACAGTCCATAATGCCATACCTTCCCGTAGAATCAATTTAAATTAGTGAATAAGTTTCAACACCAGTTGTTGTTTCAAAGACTCAAAAAATTTATTTAAATATAATGTTTCAAAATAAAATTTCTGTTTTTATTTTTATTAATTAATTTATTGAATTTATTTTACATTCAAATTTAACTACACAAATTTTTTGTTTTCAATTATTTATAATAACTTAAGCTATCATTTAAGAGTAAAGTATTAAATTGAAATTATTTACATATATATCCTTGTTGGATTGGCTTAAAAATAATTATTTTATTATGCACTTAAAATTTCCCTTATAGCTATATTAAAAATAAAAAATAAAAATTTAAGAAATTAATACGTAGTTTTGAAGTTGAAGGATTTAGGTATAAATTTTAGATAAAAAGTTAGTATCAATGTATAAATTATTTTAATTATTCACTTTTTCATTTTCACTTCTGTAAGTTTGTATAAATAATTGTACATTTTTTAAATTTAATTTATTGTTCTACTTACTTGACTTATATAATATGTTATTTGTAAATATTTTGTTTTTGTTTGTTTATTTTTTTTTTGCATATATGCAAATAACTTGAAACTATTACTTACGCTAACAAATAAAATTATATACACTCAACTACTTCCAGTTTCCCTTAAATTATTTTATATAAAATATTTTAAAATTATGTTTTTTCTTTAAATGAAAACAAAAACAAAATATTTTTCAGTAAAATTTGTATGTGTTTTACATGTGTATACATATATTATTTATTATCATATCTATGTATTTATTTTCTGATTTTAGAGTATTTAAGTTTTGTTCAGCAAACTTTTGATACTTTAATGAAATTTTCAATTGATTATAAATACAATTGAAAGTAAATTAAACTTTTAATATTAATTAAAATATGGTAAAAAAATAAATTTAACTTATAGTTTACTTTTTGAACCTGATATATATAGATAGTAAATTATTTATAATTATCACAATAACAATAATTATTATAATATTAATAATAATTTTGGTAATATGCGACAATTGAAATTAAAGCTTTATATAATTGTCATCATAGTAATAATAATATTTAATACATAATGAAAAAAAATCAATGATATTAAATTAAACACAATAGTTTAATAATAAATTATTATATATATAACAAACTGAAATATAATTAAATAAACAAACAATAAATTCAAATAAATACTTTATTTATGATAACCAATTAATGTTGTAGCGGGTATTATAAGGATATACCTTAGATTTCCGTGAGCTTTGAGGGAATATATTGCTCATAATTAATATTTGAAATATATAAAGCAATTAAAATAAAAATAATCTTATTTTTACCCTCTCACTTTGTCCCGATATGACTGAATGTATGTACTTAACAATGATGCGACCAATACTTACGTTGCTGTGGTTTGATAGCCTCTCTGGCTAAGGACAACACCGTTCGAAAAGTCAACAGAACTCAAAGAGTAGCTAACTAACTGCTGGCTTAACCAACTAACTGGCTTAGAGTATCAAACTGATAGGCAGAACACATAGTTGAATTCAGAACACAGTCCTTTTTCAAAACCTATTCCTAATATTTGTATCAAGAAATCTATAAAAAAAGAACACGCTTTGAAGTTAGTTATGATATTTCAATGTTCACAGATGTCTAAATAATAGGTGACATTTGCAGATATAACTTTTTTTCGTCGACTGTCTAATAAAGTCATAGTTTTTAGACTGATGTGTTAGCAACTAAGGAACCAGACAGTTAAACTGTCTATCAAGGATAGGTGTTTTTATTTATGACCAATTAGCAATTAAAGCATTTCAATCCTAAACCAACAAATCAAAATTTGTAGCAGATTGTTAGAAAGAACTCAGCGAGCTAAATTAACTCTCGGATAACACTTTTATATGAGTTCTCAATCATAGTTCTAAAACATTGAATGGTATAAAAAGTTCAGACAATTTATCCCGCTCTTTCGTTTTTAGGGATAATGGTATATTTTTTCTTAGAGCCCGTTATAAGAGGCACGTTTATCCTGGTTCTGTAATAAAACATTCCTGTCGATCAACACCTCAAGCAACAAGATATTAACATGGTCCTAATTTATAATTCTATGCTAAAAGCAGCTCTTTCAGGTCATTGGTGTATATCATATTGTTAAGTGGACCACTTTGCGAAACTTAGGCAAAGAGGAAACAATTTCATATTATCTCTGTAAGTGTTTAACTTTGATTAATAGGAGAAATAGATTTTCAGAGAAGTTCTTTATTGATAGTCTGGCAGATTGATTATCTATAACAATATGATTTTAACTGAGGAGAACTTGTTTATCTATGGTATGACAACGCCAAATATTGCTAAAAATATAAGGTAGAAGAGTATTTGCCAATTAATATTCAAAATTCAAAATGTAGTCATTTAAGCAATGATCAGTTATCTGTATTGTAATTAAAAAATTATATATACTAAAGTCATACAAAAGAATATAAATAAATAATAAAAATAAAATAAAATATTAAAATTAATATCAAAATTAAAATAAGAATCACATATATAATATACCATATATATTCGTTTAAATATTTTATACTATCTTTTAGTTTTTAATTTAAAACACTTAACATCCATCATTTTATTGTTAAACTTATGTCTAGCTTAGAATATTTAAACTTACATATTTACTAACCTAATATATGTATCAATACGTATTATATATATTTTAAATGTTTTTCTTTTTTACAAAAGCTCAAAGAAAATCAATTTTGATGTTGCTTCTTTTGAGTCATAATAATAATAATAATTTTGATTTGTTTTCACAATTTTTATCTTTAATTGAATTTAAAGATATATAAATTCAGTACCACATACTTACAGTAACATAAATATACATACAACAATTAATCAAAATTGGTTTTAAAGTTTAAGTTTAGTTTAAAAAAATGTGGATTTTATTCACTCCATCTGACAATGCAACATACGAGTATCTAAGCAGTAATGTTGCATTTCTGTTGTGATTTTTGCTATGTGATGAGAGATAATTTGTTTCCAATGCTATTCTATACTGTGAATATTTTTTGTTTTGTCAGCAGGATGAGTTTCGTTGATTGATAATGTTTTGAGTAATTATACAATCTTCATGTGAACATAGCAGTGCCATATTCGATAGCCAAGAGCAATAATAACCATTATACTATGTAAATGTGTCTGATATGATTTCGTTGAGGAACCCACGTGACCATGGTACATTGCCGCAGGGTTATCACCTGAAAATATAATAAAAGAAAACATTAAAAATATTTTATTTAAATTAAAAATCTTTCTCAAATTATTAAATTTTTAATTTTGACAAATTTAATTGTATTAAATAATATTAAAAATGTCCTCTAAAGTGAAGTCAATTAGTGGTGGAATTATGAAATATTATTGTCGCAAGCAAAACCAAAAAAAAAAGGATTTAAAATAATCACTTTGATTTTACCCTTTATAATAATATGTAATTTCACTCCTAACTTATTTTTCACCGGAACATAGACCAGCAAGGTCAAAAAACCTCTGAATAAAATGTTACCTTCAATTATTTTAGTATAAGCTGTGACTACCATAATTGGTAGTCATATCATAATTATATCATAGTTATATGATTGCATATAAAGTTATTTTGGACGAAATGAAATTTCAAGAAATCACATAAAATTCTCTCCATTTGAAGAGATGAACCTCTTCAGAACACAAATGGCTCTGAATAAAGTTTAACGTTATATAATTTTTATAGAGACTGTAACGACGAGGAGAAAAAGGTTTTACTGTTAAGATGTTCAGATATTATTGTGAATAGAGTTAAATATGGAACTTATTATTAAAAAAAAATTTTATAAAGCCAATAAAAACTAGCGGACTCAAAAGACTTATCCACCGATGCTCATCATTCCCAGTGGTTAGAGCAGCCCTGCTTATGCATTTTGAAGAAAAATAACTGTTCCCATCAGCTGGAAGATATCTCACGAATAATTATTGAACACCTAATAATAATTAGGTCACTATTTTTTGTGACATCAGCAACTAAGTACAAGTAAGCCTCAGTAATGAGGACTGAATTATAACAACGTTTAGGAAGATAATAGCTACATGTTAATGTCCAGCCCATATAAGGCCATAATACTATGTAAACGTAGAATATATTAAAACCCTTTAGGAAAAGCTATCAAATGTGTTAAAAATTAAATCTAGTGTGCATAATGTATTCAGCATTTCTTTATTTTTATTAGAAAAGTATAATCGAGAATTTCTTTTGCATTATACGCTGAAAGCATATCCTGATATGTCAGGAACATAGACTATAGATTTTAAAACCTTTAATTGCTTAAACTTCCAGAACGTTTTAGATTAAATAAAAGTCATACTTAGTTATATATCAATTGCTGAATATGAACAAATTGACTAATGGATATTAAATTACTTCGCTAATTACAACAATCAGAAAAATAACTTGGATGATTAACCCATATTTTAACTAAATCTCAGGTTAAAATATTCTTACTTGTATGATGTACAAGTTGGTTGGTTGGTTCAACCAGATCATATGTTGGTTTTTGTATCTTCTTTCCGACGTTAGCCAAAATTTCTCTAAAAAATTGATCGGATCAATTTTAGTTTGTTCTTAGAACACATTTCTCTGAGGGTAGAGAATTTATTTGTATTATAGATAATACTAAGTACAGATAAGACTTAGAAAATGTTATTATACATTTTAGTTATTCTAACAACAATTTCATATTAATAACATGTACATAGCTGCATTTTAAAACTGAAGTGTGTTGTTTGGTTTTAATCGACCTATTCAGTAATGTGACTTTATAAAGTCTTAAAGTTCCAAAATAACAAGCAAGTTTGTTAAAAGTCAGTGAAGCATATGTCACGATAAAGGGTGGATATACACTGCTATCAAAATGTCTGGGTTAAGTTGGAATTGAGAGTAACATCTTTTTATAATTTAAATAATTTATATATAAAGTACAGATGCAAATTTAACATAAAATAAAAGTGATTTTTTTTAATGTACTTTCTCATTGTAATAATTATTAAATTCATTTAAGCTGCATAGTCTCTTTTATACACAAATTAAATAAATATATTTGTTTAGTTTTGTATATTAAAATGATTGGTAAAAATAACAATTGTGAAATATTGTATTTTGTATCTTTCAACTACACTATGGGAGGAGGACTCACCTTTGAATATGTGCACCAAAATACTGGCCGGTTGTGTGTTACTTGCCACACATGTGAAATTGCCCGAATGCTCACGTCGCGTACGTAGAATAGTTAATTCCGATGATTGAAAATCTGAAATAAAATATATAACAAAGCTCCATCAATTAGACTAATCAAATAAATTAAATACTTCAGTGCCAATAACTACTAATCTATGTTGAAATAATAATAAATTATGAGTTTTTCATTACTGAATGATATAAAAACTTAATTAGATTTGAATATTCAACTTGTGACAATACAAAGTGACAATAATTTATGTGACATAACAAATTATTAGTGAACATTTTTACTAAATAAAATTATGTATTAAAATCCCAAAAAATAAAAAATACTTTGACACAGAGAAAATTAAATAAAATAAAATTCTCTTAAATCGGAAATTGTTAACAATGAAATCAGCTTAAAAAAGTGGAAATGTTTTCAATGACAATGCGAGCTGCACTGCAGACTGCAGTTGTAAAAAAATATTTTACTACTAAATTTATTGAATTAAGCCAAACTATTTGTATTCGCAATTATAAACACGTTTCATCTCTATTTCACTTATTCGGCATTGTTTATCAATTCATGTTTTCCATGCACTATCATTGAAATGTCATTTACTATTGCAAATATTTGAATATATAACTACATAATGCCACACTCTGAAAAAGCAAATGTTTTCATACAATTCAGGTTTTGTGAAATGTTTTTATTCATAAAACATTTATTTATAGGAAATGCTAGTTGAGATAGAATTCGAGGTATATATATACATATATATAGCGAGGTATACATGTAAGTATAAATATGAATTATAAAATACGTAGTAGAGATCTGGAAATAACTTATATATGCTAACAAAAAGGTTTTATTTATTTACTTTATTAAATCACTTATATTAAATTTTAGAAAAATTTTAATTTTTTCCATTGGATAAAATTTAAGTATATTTTTTAGAGTATCTCTCTCTCTCTCTCTCTTCTCTCTCTGTCTCTCTCTCTTTTCAAATATTAGCTAAAATTTAAAAAATGGAGCTTACGGTTTTTCAATTACTAATTACAAATTACTAGTTAGTATTTAAATTAAATCTTTCAAAGCTTCAATATTTCTATATAAACTTTCTTATAACAGTAACCTAATCGTTTGATATCAAAAAATAGTAACTTTTTGAACGTCTCTTCGCTTTGGCCCTATTCAATATCGCCAGAATTACTCCTCTGGGGCTACTCACGGCGATATAATCGTCTGAAAGTTGTGATGCTGTTATTTGCTGCAGTTGTCACAATAAAATAATTAATGTAGGTAAGTAATATTGTTCAAATAAATTTATTTAATATTTTCAATCATGTTGTTGGGTATAAAGAAATTTTAATAAAAAAACACTAACCATTTTCCATTGGCGTAAAATATTCAATTATTGTCGACAACTATTTTTTTCTTTTATATGCAAAAAGTGCGAAAACATAACCACAAAATGCATAACAGACAGTGTCTACAAATTTTTTTGACAAAACAAACATACTTTTACACCCTTCAACATATGGGGACACTTGCCGAGTTATTGCAATGGAACAGCGAAAACAACAAACCATTCCGCAAACAATAGAATGGTTTGATATGCAATAAATTCAATTAGAAGAGACATCAGAAGTCCCTTAAGTAAAACGACATATAAATGAAGGCAAAAATTGTATTAAAGAGGACTTCGTCGCAGCACTTGCGATAGGTCACTTTGTCGCCAGAGACGATAGTTCCAGAAGATTTGCGATCGACCACATCACCAACATAATTTAACAAGGTATATTAATCTAGTTTCCCTAGTATAACAACTAAATCAAAAGTACAAGTTTCCCATGTATTTCGGTAGAGGCCTGTGTTCCTGATTACAGTTCAATATACTCGCTGTTGTCAATGCCTGTATTGACTTTGAAATAAAAATAATAATATGTCTCTACGAAAATATGGAGTCAAAACTTGACTGACTATTCAGAACATGTTCCAATTTTTTTTTGTTTAATTATTAAATATAATTATTTATTTAAACATATGCTATATATTCGAAAAGAATTACAAATTCTTTTTAAATGAAGATTCGATTGCAAACAGCTATTTTTTCTGTATACTCGCATTTATTACAATAAACCATTATTTTTGTAGATACATATTTCGGTCATTAATAGCATTATTTATTTTATTTTATAAGTGGACAAGTGCACTTCCAGCTCTTGTTAAAATTATTTCAGAATATAAATTAAAAAAAAAAATTATTTTAAGTAATTTAAAAATATTGTGTTTAATTTTTTATTTTTCAAATATGTATATAAAAATATGCATGTAATATTGAAAACTCATAAAAGTGTGAAATATACTACATGATGACTTAATATTCTACATACCTGGGTCTGTTGATACATTAATCCCACGATCAATGTCGTAATTTATCATTCGATTGTCGTGATACCAAAATATAAATTCTGATGCTTCTGTATTTTGCACAACACGACATTGCAGACGTAAAGTTGATCCTGGCGTTAAATAGCGAATTGGTGGTCCCGATATTTCGGCACGTGCTTCTATCCGAATGAAATTTTAACATGGATTTTATTGTTGTGCACATGATGATAATATAGCAACAAAAATATTTCAAGAAATAGAATAAACGATATTAAAAAATGTATTCAAAATATGTATATATTTATATAGTTTAATATAATTTAAAGTTTTAAAAACCTTATTTAGTCAACAAAAGTACAAACGTGTTCAACAATTTTTATTTTATGTAAGTCTCATAGGGGTAGAATTTCTTAACTAGTCTGAAATTTTAAAAAGTTCTTGGACCTTTAAATTGTTTAATCTATAATTTTACTATTTATTATTAATTTTCTAATGCTTGTTGCGTCATATATAATATACGGTTCTGCAGGATATGTAGACTTAGAGAGATGGAAACACAACCCACACAACAAGTGTTGTTTTGGCTTTATTGCACTAGAAGTTTCCCTCACCGATAATATTTCGTGACTTGTGCCACTAAGATCATGCGAATCATTATCACTAAACTTTTTATTTGATTATTTCTGAGGTGATTAAAAGGATCGAGTATATACGGACAATCCTCGATGCTGTTCTGTATGATATGTGGACTTAGAAATATGGAATCACCACCCACACAACACTCGCATCTGTAATTTCATGTGACTTGGGCCATTAAATCCACTAAGTTTGTTCTCACTGAACTCAGGTGACTTTTTTTTGATGTGTGAGGTGATTAAAAGGATCGTGTTTATGCGGACATTACTCGATGCTATGAAAACTTACTTCTATTAAGTTAGGGTTGAGCCATTCCGTGCTCTTTTCTTTTCAAAGCTGTAAGATGTTTATTGAAGTCATTCTAATGACATTGCATTTTAAAATTAGTTATTTGGGATTGTCCAAATAATTCAATGACTAACAGTTTGAAAAAAAAGCTTAATCACAAGTGTATTTTATTTACGCTTACTTTTGGAACCACTTAATGAATAACGTTGTATACCTTTAGTTAACTTTGTAAGACAAGATTAATTGTCTATTTATAGTACTTCTGTGCAATGTTTGTCTCCAGATCATTGATTTCACTTTAATGTAAAGCTCAAATAATGCTTTTAAAAAACTTACTAATCTAAATGATTGAACTTAGACTTCCTTAGGGTATTGAACTATAATGAACCACTATTCATTGAACTTTTAAATAACTATTAAATAATTAAATGATTACTTCGATTGTGTTGTAAAATTGCTTTGATTTTATAAATAATATCAAATATAATTTATTTTTGTTTTGAAAGAATAAATAATGACAATTACTTAAATATTATTTATTTTGTTTTACATTATAGAATTATATTTTGATTTTACATGTTTTGTTCTATATCATCTGGAATTGCAGTTTATTTAATTTTATATTTTAATGATAATTAAGTTTATGGCATACATAAAAATTCGTACAAAAAACGATTGCTTAAAATTAAATTTGCACATTTAATTGGAAAAATGTAATTATTTATTATGAAACATTCATTAAACGTTCATATGCTGAAGCGATGTTGAAGCGGGAATGCATTAATGCACAAATGCATTTATAAATATAAATTTGAACAAATGTGAACAAATGTAAAAATCTAAATGCAAATTTCGGTATCAGCGTTGAATTAATTTTTCTACCGCGAAATTGTGTCAGCGTGGATGGCATCATTTAATGTTTTTGCATTTTAAATGATGTGCATTTACTCCTGAAATTGCATTCGTTAAATTTGAATGAAATAACTAATTTTTCCACTTAGTCACATTGAAGGTGTGCAAATAACAAAACTTTTCTATTGCGGAAAATTAGCATATTTTAATGTAAATTTTATAAATTTAAAATACCGCCGAATGATATTGTGGTAACAATTAGTTTCAACATAGATATGAGTTTATACTTTGTACTTTTGGAAATTATTTCATTTCAATTCAAATTATATTGAATGAAATGTTAAAGGAATATTTTAAAGATATTTGTGTGTTGTTGTAGTAACCTAATAAGTTACATACGCATAATGAAGAAATTTCTTTGGAACCTAATTTCATTCAAAGGAACAATTACTGTGAATTGTATGATAATTTGGAAATGTGGTAAACTTTGTTTATACTCTGTACAAAAGTAATGGAATGAAAGATAGTACATATAGAATTGTAAACAAAAATATGTGATTTTAAAATCAAACCATTACTTGTTCATCCAATATACATAGGTAGGTACATATATATGTCTGCGTACGATATTTTGTTAGATTATTATATTTTTTTTTTTTGCTAATGCAATTGTATTAATTATATTTATAAAACAATAGTGATAAATTTTTAATAATTAAAAATTTACAATAGTTGATTCCATTTCCTATATGCTGTGGCTTACAGGCTTGTTTTTAGTAAAAATGACGATTAGCATTTCAAACTGCGGTGCAGACTCTCATTTTCAAATGTCATTCAAGTTTCGCTCTCTCTTGTTCAAATTTATTCTAGCGACCGAACTTGAACATGCTCACATTCAAGAGTTCTCATTCAAGCAAAATTTTTGAAGAAAAAGGGTGTTTACGCACGCTGTAAATTAGTGCAATCACACAAAAATATGCTCTTGAAAGACGGATGCAAATAATACAAATTATATATGGCCTTATAAAATTAATGAAAATTTTCATCTATATAATGAGTCATATAAATTATATAATATAGTAATAATTATACTATTTTTATTTATAATGAGTATATGAGTATATATGCACTCAGTAAAATAACTTGATTGATTTAAATAGATTTTTACTAAAGCTCAGGTCAAAAAATTCAACGCATCATGTTGGCTCAATCATACCATATCTTACTATATGAGCTAAAATTTTTCTAATAAAATGATCTGGTTAATTTAACTGGTATATGGTTAGAATATATTTTTCTGAGTGTGACAATAATCGAAACAGCCGTATGGCAAGCTAAAAAATTAAATTTATTAAAAATAAAATTTAGCGGTATTGATTCGTTACTATACAACTAGCCTTCTATTAATGAAGTAGTTTTTTTCCGCACGACAAAAGAATTTTATCTGAGAACAAAATTGCTTATAAGCGATATAGAACATGATAGAGTTAACATGTGGGTGCTATTTTTACATATAATCATATATACCTAATAAATATACTAATAATACCATAATAAAAATTAGAAACTAATATTAAAAGTTTGATAAATTAAAAAAAAAGATAAAAGGATAGCACTATTGTTGCGTTTTCAAAGTAATCACAATTAGAATAACATTCATTTTTTATGAAATTAATATAAAAACTTTTTTAATATTAATATTAAAATTTGGTTTAAAATAATATAAAAAGTTGCAATTTTTATTTAAATTCCAAAACTTTAAACTGACTGCACGTGCTCAACCTTAAATATTCTAAAGAATATTTTTTTTTTTAAATAAATTCCAATATTTTCACAGCAATAAAATAAAATGAATTTAAATTTTAATTGTGCAAATTAAAAACCAAAGTTTCGAATTCTAAAATTTTAATTGTTATCATTTCGATGCAATTTAAAGTTAATTAGTGTGAATGGAAAATATAATTTTGTGTTAATTGGCACATTATAAAGTTAAAGTCAATTACATATTTGTTTTAGAAATATTTTAATTTAAACTAGAAAAAGTTTTTGTATTCATTTTGAATTGATTTTTAGTAAAATTAAAACAAAACAAAATTATAATTGAGTATCTTAATTATTATACATAATTGAATAATATATTGCATATTACAAAGATTGATATATTTTTTTTTATTGTATTTATTGAATTTATATCTTTTGTATATAAATGAATTTAATTTATGTTACTGTTAGGCAAAATTTAAAATTATATTCATACTTGCTTATACTACGATATTTAGTTACATTCATACATGAGTATACATGCAGCCATGCGTTACTATGATAACAAAAATCAGAAGCAACAACTTTTGATAGTGAAAGACTAAAAAAATTCTATTTTACTTCAACATTTAACTAATTTCTTGCACTACTTAGTACAGCACACAACTGTTGTTGCTGTTAAAATTTCAATAGTTATGTTAAATGAACTGTTAAATTAACATATCTGCAGCTGGCCTCAGCGAGATTTATACAAAGTGAAAGGGTTATGTTAAGTTTTTAAAAACATAACTTTAAACCAAACAATATGTTTTTGTTGTCTAATTTTATTAAATCAAAGTTAAAAAAAATTAAAAATTTATTATTTAATGATAATATAATTATTATTTCATATATATACTTCTCTATTAATTAAAATGAAAGGATTAGAAAGTCTTTATATTTGGTTTAGGAACGCATATTACAGTGAAGATATTTGTGGATATGTGTTCAGTGAAAGGAAAAAACGTTTAACTATCAATCTTAAAATAATTAAAAATAAAACATATTTTATTATATTCATTTTAATTTATTTTATTCTCTAGTGTGTAATTTATTGAAAAAAAAACTGTGCTTATAAATAAAGCTAAGCCTTAAGAGCTGCTATTAATTTATTTGTTAACTCACACGGCCACAATACAGTCAACTATTAAACTATTAAAAAAAATTTTAATTTATCTCATTGCTTAATTTTTTATTGGTTCATAATTTTTTTTTTTGTTGTAATAACGGGTTTCGAATTAATAAAAACTATATACATTCATATTCATGATATATGCAATGGTGTGTAATTTTCAAGTTACAGTGATTTATCCGCAAATGTATGAGTAATGACCCTGTAAATTTGAGTTATAACACCTTTTTAACATTGATTTGTTTCATTCTTCCAGTTTTAACACTTTAAAACCACAACAATTAATTGACAATTGTGTTTTAATCATTTGCACTTATTTATATATACATATTAAAAATATGTATCTATTATAGATATAAGTATAAGTATTATTTGAATAGTGAAAATAAAATATGTAATTTTAATTAATTGATAAGTGAATTTCATGAAAAATTCATAGCAACAATTAAATTAAGAGAAGAATTTATTATATTATTTTCAATAAAATAAATTTATGTAAAATGAAGTGCAATTGATAAATAAAAATGGCAAGCATACCTGATAATCATAACGTATTTAATATATTAACTCAATAATGCATTTAAGTATAAATAAATTGTAAATGTAATATGCAACCGCAGAATTTAATCAATATAATACAAAAGTTATAACAATAACTTATATTAATATAAAATTTACATAATTTATTTTAAGATACAAAAAAAAAATATGGACAGGCACTTTAAAATTAAACATATTGCAGATAAATTCGATGAAAAAAGAATAACTTAAATATCAGATAATGAAATTTTAAATATGTATGCATAATATTTTTGCCATCAAGTCTACAGTATTTAAACTTTATATAGGATATACAAATAAACATACTCTTCGACGCGAACTAAGACAATGGAGTTTAACTATAATTCTTTCTTCGATAGAATTTCATAGATTTTTATTTTGAGAGAGAATTTATCATTGTATGATATTCTATTTTTAAATTGTTTAGAAGTGCACTGATATGTCCACTTCATATGACTTGTAAATAGAGCATTACTTCAGTATTTCCCTTAATTTACTGATGTTAAGTTCAGGTAAAGACATTGATAATCGCCCAGAATGATGCAAATCTTTCATCAAATCTCGACTGGTTTGAAATGCCCTGCACTATTCAAACGCACGTGTTTAATATAGTCTATACACTGTAAGATCTTTATAACACTTTCCGTGCTTATTTACAAGAAACTTTATTTGAAATAATAAATTTAAGACATATTCTTTGTTTGATATTTTTATCCACTGCAAAAGTCGCAAAACAGTCTTGAGATGTATTCACAAAATGGCGCACTGTTAACAAGCAAAATGACAAATAACATTGCAATAACAGTGAGGGAAGGGAAAAGTGTCAAGAAGAATTTCGATAATACTTTTTTTAAAAGAACGATTCTCTGCACCTTCCTGACAGAATGTATTGCAAGTAATGCTTCAGTTCTTCTGCTGACAAATAGATGACACTCCATAACATTTTAGTATAGTCTAGTACTGAAGCGTTCTCATCTATGGGAATGAGTTAGTTAAATTTTCCTTATATTTCCAAACATAGTTTAGATTGGATTGGATTTTCTATTTCAAACCTGTCATAAACTTTCTATGGAACTGTTAGGTAATACTGCTCCTAATAATTCAAGTTGTATGCATATGTGTGCTCGTATTTATTATATTAAACCCTACACTGTTCTGTTTTCTTCTGCAACTTTATACAAAATGGAAGGGATAAATTATAATTTAATTTTGAAATATTAATTAGTACATAATACAAGTTACTATGAATAGAAACCTTTATTTTTAATTAATTGAACTAAGGCCAATTGGAGTAGTTTATATAAAAGTGCATTTTTTCCAATTTTAATTATATATATACGAGTATATAAAGAATATATTCCTAAACCCTTCCACTTTCTTTTGATAACCTTTAAAAATTTATTTTTGTGATAATCACTATTCATGTAATAAATTAAATGTGCAACAGATTTTATTTTTCAATGAAAATAATCAAATATATTTTAAGAATTTGGGTGTATTTACGGTCAAGGCTGTAAATGCTTTAATCTAAAACTAAGTCGATAATACTGTATCCTCCATCAGCAAGCTATAAAACAAACAAATGAGCTCAAATCAAATTTCGCTTGAAATAAGAAAAATCGGAGAATCTGTGCTAAATCGACGTTATTACCACAAACCCAATTTCATTTCAATGCCACAAATCTTCTTGTGGACCATTTCACTCTACTCTACTCTACTTTACTCTACTCTACTCTGCTCTAGTACCGTACGTATGTGCTTTTTACTGCGCTTGCATTTAAGATTTGCTATTCGACTTACATTTGTTACGGTGAACTTTTTGTTGACTGCCTTAGTAAATTTATGTGAATGCATTCATCCAACACTGATACTCACCAACAACATTCAAATGTAAAAATATTGATGTGGGCGGATGGGTTGATACTTGACACTCGTAGACGCCAGCGTCACGTAGTTGCACAAATTTTATTTGCAGCGTCCAATCCTGGGTCGGATGGAATATTTTTTATTTCACACATTCGGTAACAGATGCGGTTGCATAAAAAGCATTATAAAATTGAAATAAAAAGAGAAGAGCAGAATATAAAAAATTACACAATTATGACGTTGTTACAACTCGAAGGAAGGAGTATTAAAATAATGATACAGTATATATTTTATGAATTTATTTTATGCTTAAAGTAATCAAAATAAATATGCAGTACTTTGTGCGTTGCGTGAATCAAAAGTGAAATGAATGCTCACTGTGCTCACTGTCAAATGCAGTTCAGACTCGTATGTGACCCTTCCGTGGCTCTGAAATATGCGACACATACTAACCAATGTGTCAATATTATATTTAATTTTTATCTGTATGCACTTCAAGTTATATGTGTCATGGAGCAGGTCCATGCGGCTTCCCGCTTGTTTGCTGCATAATATGGAAATCACGTTTTAGCTTTAAATTCCGCTCTGAACATGAGTGTAAAATGCTTGTAAGTACATTTCATTTGAATTTTTTTCTTCTTTTTTTTTTCTGCTAGGAATATCGTCCCTGTCAGTGTACCGTAACAAGGATATTGTTTTTTTTCTACTACTGCAGTTTTGTTAAATTGCATATATTTTACATATGAAGTGTGCTATTTACCTCAGAGTGTTTTAAATGCGTTGCACTAAAGCGCTCATCACTGCTGTATGTGGTTAAACCAACTGTCAGTAGGTGATAGTCTTTTTTTCTTATCCAGGATACCTGCAATATTAAAGGAAAAAATTAGATTTAATAAATATATAATTTAATATGGAATCGAGTCGGATAACATTTATTTCTGTTAAATAATAAATACGTTGCTACGTATTTCTGTTAAAATAAAAAAATGATATCTAAATATGCAATTTAAAAGCAATTTTAATTTTTTCCTGAATGTGACAATTTTAAAATATATTAACTTTGGTATAAAATTGCAATACATGAAGCACAATTGATATAACACATTTTTTGCATTAAAAAAGTATTTCAGGATTATACAGATATGAAAGAAAAATTCGACAAAAGTGATTGTTATTCAGCAAAATAGTCCTGTTAATAATTCTGCTTTGCTTTACTACTGTTTAGAAAGCAACAGATATTTTTTTGAGTCAGTAATCTTATCTTATTGTATATAAACATCATCTTATTGATTCTATATAAGTTAATAATTAGTTAAAAATTTATAAAAACGGTTTAGTGAGTTTGCTTCAGTAGTCAAAATAAAAGTGAATGAGTTTCGCGTATAGATTTGAGAGCTACGAAGGCCAAACTAGGCTTTTCCAGACAAACAAGTTGATGTCCCGTTTTGTAGCAATCGATCGCATGATTATGCCGTTGAAACTAAGATGCCGCAAATGTTAACTTATATATATATATATATATAGTTTGTTAACTAAAACTATATTCGACAATTGTTTATAGATTAATCATTTTAGGTAGCAACTGCTTGGACTACTCATTGTCACAAGATGTTTTCGCTCCAGTAGCAATAGGTTTTGTAAAAGGACCAAAAGTTGTATCTTGAAAAAATTATAGCAGATTTAAAATTTTATAAATACTTAAACTATTGACGGAGGTTTTTTGAAAGTTCAAACATTTTGTGTAAATCTTTCTATTTTAACAATTACTTTAAAGGAGTCGTAGTAAATAAATATTACTCGTCTACTTAACAAAGACATATTTTTTTTATGATATGAGCTCGGAAAATTTGTGTTTGTTTTTAATTTGAAATATTTTTAAAGCACTCAATCGAAGGTTAATCAAATGTATTGATATATTTATTTAAAAAATTATTAATAAATTACTTCTTATACACAGACAATTCTTAATAATCTGACAAACTATGAACTTCTATTAAGAACCTGTTTTTCTGAAAGACAAAGTTAGTTAGTGACATAACTTCTTTCTTATTTTTCTTGTAAATACCTGCGTGACTCTTTAATGGAAACAGATCTCTAACGGTATTTGACTGAGTCGTACCTCATACTAATGTGGTTATTATTATAGATCCAATATGTTAACTTTGTTTTGTGGGTGTGGACAACTTAAAGCATATCCGCGGTTGTTGGCCAGTATTAACAAAATTTATTTATTTTCGATAATAGTCAAGTCTCATCAATAACACTCAAACTTAGCATATCTCAGTGCTTGAAATCCAAAATAGATTTTCAAAGAAAATTATATAAGATATATTAAATTTTTTTGTACCAATTTCATACACGTCTTAAATCAATTTATCTTACATATGTCTTTGGAAGAAGAGCTTTTTTGGGATATTGTACTTCGT